AGGGGAGGGGTGTGGGAGGGTGGGTGGGGAGGGAGGGAGAAGGGCACTGAGGGGTATTATGTTCATACACATGGTGTGGGAGATCATGGGGAGAACAGTGTATCACAGAGAAGGGACATAGTGGATCTCTGGCATCTTGCTGCACTGATGGACAGTGACTGCATTGGGGTATGAGTGGGGACTTGATAATATGGGTAAATGTAGTAACCACGTTGTTTTTCATGTGAAACCCTCATAAGAGTGTATATCAGTTATACCTTAATAAAAAATTAAAAAAAAGACACAATGAAAAGAACACATAACATTTCTGAATACATAATTATAGAGAGGAAAGTCATTAGCCCAATTATCACCAAGTTTGACATAAATAACCTATGGATTTTCATACATGGAACTTTATATACTCTAGGTGAGTTAGTAGCTGAAGGCAAGCAGAGCTACTGTGCTAAAGCCTCATTGTAGCTGACAAGATGGCACAAACCCTGCTTAGCGAACCTAGGGCAAAAAAAAGGGAAAGCAACAGAACAGAGAGATCTCCCAGAAAAGATGTGTAACTTTCAAATGCTTTACAAGCCAATTCTTCATACCTTTTCAAGCTAAAAAATCACTACAGAACTTCTGACTCTATCAGGGACAAACATATCCACACTTTCTGGCACAATTTAGGAACAACAATTGAAGCCAAGGGAATTTGGGAATATAAGAAATGCAATACTTCCCTTCATCTTTTTCTCATTCTTGTTTCTTACTAAGTGGAGGTATGACACTACCGGCATTCCCCACTAAACAGGAGACTGAGAACAGATCTTTCTACTTAAGGCAGAGAGTAGTGGAATTAGCAGAATTGTGCTGAACAGCTTTTTAGGTAAGGTGATGACAGTTACAATAGAGAGATGTGCAAATTACAGAGAAGACCTGCTCAGATGAGTTTGAGGAGGAAGCCACCATTTTTCTTGAGCATGAGGTGTAGCTACTGCTGGAGACAAGGGACTCAAGCTGAAGGGACACTTCGTACAAACAGCTCAATCTATCTCTTTTGCTCAGCATGCCTTCCTTCAAAGCTGGACTCAGCTTCTGCCTCTCTGATAAAGACTCTCTCACTGCAACCCCCTTCCATTCTCTGAACTCATGTTGCCACCTCTACTATTTGGCTTAGTATCTGTTTGGCTTAGTATTTAATAGTTTAGTGTATTTTTGTCTCTTGCCTTTATTAGACTCTGCACTTTGTGGAGGCAAGGACCATGTTTTGTTGGTTTTGTTTATTATTAAAATGTTCAAGCATTCACAGAAATAGAGAGAACAGTATAACAAACCCCCATACATTCATCATCCATATTCAACAATAATCCAAGATTCTGCTTCATTTCCCATATACATCCCTTCTTCCTTTTGTTAAAATATTCTATAGTCCATATTTTAGTATGCATCTCTAAAAGAAAATATAGACATTTTCTTAAATAACCACAAACCTAAATGAAATGAATAGTACTTCCTGGGTATCATCTAATACCTAGTTCATATTCAAATTTACCCAAGTACCTCAACACTGTCTTTTGGCATTTTGTTATAAATCAATATCCAAAAAAGATCTATATGCTGCATTTGGTTATTATATCTCTTGTTCTCTTTTACTGTAAAGTCAATGATTTATTGTAACTGTCAATGATTTTATGAAGAAACCTAGTCATTTTTCCTATTGAGTGTACCACATTCTGGATGTGTCTAATTCCTCAGTCTTAGCAGCTGTTTTTCATTCATTTATTGAATACATATCAGGAGCAGAGTATGAATCAGAACTCTATAAAACACAGTGGCTACAATAGTGAATATAATGTCCTGGTTCAAACAGAAGCTATGAAACAGTTACACAAAACATTAACTATCAGCAGCAATAAAGGGAAAGTACAAGATAGTAAAAGAAATTAAGGTAAGGGAACCTAATCTACTTTAGAGGTCAGGGAGAATATTACTTTGTATAGTTCTAAGTATCTATTAGTATTAAGTAAATAAACATTCAGTTTTTCCAGGCTGGCTGAGAGAGTGAGTTCTTGAGCCTTGTAAAGTAAGGGACATATCACCATGTCTTAAGTTCTGAACATCAAATCTAATTCTCATAGGAGTCCATTGTGAGATAACCCTGAAAGGGCAAACAGATGTGTTCCTCCAGGTAAAATAAATTATTTTAGAAGAGAAAGAGTAATGCAGGAAGTGGTTATGTAAAACCAAAGTAAAAGATCACATTTTCTGGACCACCAATTTAGATATTAAGGTAATTCATTTTACAAGGAATAGAATGGATATTATCAAAACCTAGAACATGCTTAGTAGAATATCTGTCACACTGCTCAAAAGGGCTTTTAAGTTAAAGTTGAGGAAGGAGAAATGTCCAAGTTTATGTTAAGACTGGATGTAAGGGAGGGTAAAGAATAGAAAAACAGTAGCAGAGGAGATAAATGATCAGCCAGATCTTCATTTCAAAAGCTCATAGCACTATTTTAAAAACTCATTAAATATATTACCTTTATACAATACTATTTACTTGAGACCAAAGTAAATGTTTAGGTCCCCCTTTTCGTCCCCGATGTCAGTCTAGTTTTGGGGCAGCAGCATACCATTTGAGTGTCTTGAAAAGAAATGTCTTCTGATGTGGGCTGGATTGTGTTCCCCTCCCACCAAATTCACATGTTGAAGCCCTGATCACCAATGTGACTATATATTCAGGGTCTTCAGGAAGTATTTACGATTAAATGAGGTAATAAGGATGAGGCCCTAATCCAGTAGGACTGGTGCATATAAGGTGAAGAAGAGAGACTAGAGCTCTCTCTCTTTCTGACATGTGAAGACACGGTGAGAAGGCAGCTGTCTGTGAGCTGAGAAGAGCCCTCTCTAGAAACCAAAACTGCTGAACCTTAATCTGTGACTTCTAGCTTCCAGATATGTGATAAAATAAATATCCAATGTTAAAGCCACCCCATCTATACATATAGTATTTTGTGATGGTAGCCCAAGTTGATAAATACACCCTCCCAATTTTTTTCTTCTCCAGTGCCTTAATTTTAAAACTCCCTCTTTTGCACAATTTGTAGAATCTGCCTGCAAAATTTTAAGGACACATCAGAAACACAGGCCATGTATATAAGCAGCAGACTTTGACACCTAAACAAGTAAAACAAGAGAAAAATAATTGATCAAGGCACTTCCTAATCAAGGGAGTGAAATGGAATGGATGATTTTTATTTGCTTACATTTACTTTTAAACTTTTGAAATTTCATATTCTTTTAGTACAAATAGGAGCTCTCCTCAGGTGAACCAGATCTGGGTATTTTCAGCTGTGGTCAGTTTCTCTCTGAATCCCACTTGGGTTTGGTGATGGAGAGTAAACAAGGCTATAAATCAAATGCAATGCATTTAATACCTCAATGCATTGCAAATTGATCTGGAATAGGGGTCAGTTCAAATTGTTTCTTAAGTGAAACTTTTCTTTTCCCCTGAAGGGAAGGAATGGAAGTTAAAGAAAGCAAATCCTAAAGTGATATGGGGTTCAGAATTGTGGCTGCTTGTTAGAATAAACAGAGGCTAGGTTTCTTCAGGTGAGAGTCTTCAGTTATGTGTCAGGTTGGCATCATGGATATTTAAGAACACACATTCTAGTGGCTGGCATTAAATCTGAAATCTGGTGGGCAACTTTTCAAGAAATAAAAGCTACAAACAAAACAGCTCTAGTTCCATTCAGCATGCTGTGGGAAATGGCTAATGGACAAGCATTTCTATGACTGGCAAGGCGAGCTGCCAATAAATGAGAGGAGAAGAGATTCAAACCACCATATAACAGCAACACTTCCTAAACTTATTTCACTAATTTGTCAAGTAGGACACTATCCAAACTGAAAGAAAAATGAGGTTGGAGAGCACAGAGGAAGGAACTATTTAACAGTAAAGCTATGCTTCTTTTTCTATTGGTTAGTTATTTGTGCTGTGGGTACTTACGGTTTACTTCTACCATTTCCTGACACCATTTGATTTTACTGAAGGCAACATTTTCTCCTTTTAAAATAACAGAGAGCTATCTCTGGTAGGATAAATTTCCATTGTTTGCTTATGCCTACCTTGTCTTTTTCCACTAGGAAGAAATGAAGTCCCATTGGATAGGAATAAAGTATCGAGTTCTTTATATCACTCCTCTGATAGGGATGGGGACCATATTTTCTTCTCACTTGGCATTTTTTTCCCTAGAAGAACTCAAGTAATGTCTCCCATCTTTTCTCCCTTTTCAACTCTTTAACTCTCAACTGTTTCTTATAATTTCAAACTGAATCGAGTCAACTATTTTCAATGTCTTATTTTCTGGAATGGAATGAAAACTATCCCATCCTAACAGAAGAATAAATTAACTTAATTGTTCAAAACCCAAATTCAATGAATAATGCTTTATATTCTATTTCAGGTAGGTGTGTTAGTGCAATGGATAAGGTAAATAGTATAGGTTTTCACTGTAATATAACAAAGCACAGACTATGGGGCTGGACTACCTGTGTTCAAATCCTGTTTCTACCACTTACTAGCTGTGCAGATTTAGATAAATTAATTTCTTTATGCCTGTTTCCTTATTCATAAGTGGAAAATAATAATAGTTCTACATCACAGATTTTTGTACCTGGCAATGAGAAAGCACTATATGAATGTCAACTATTTATTATTTCAGAGAACATCTAAAGGGCATTATGTTAATCTTCCTAATCTTTGTTAGTTATATTCTTAGGTCACCAATCCCCTTGCTAATCAAATAAGTAAAAAGGATAAAAATGAAATCCTTTCTTCATGATTAGCCTTAACTGAGACTAAGATTTTACCAACAATGTCAAGTATACATGACTTTTAGAGACAATACATTCTACATAAACCTATATGCTTCAATGAAAAGAATCAAATGGAAACATACACAGCTTATTCTAAAACACTGATGTAATTTAAAATATTGCTCTATGAGCAAAATACATACTTCTGGGGTGATCTGTTATCAACTTCAGCTTTCAGTCGTAAATTCTCCCTCACCAGGCCACCATTTTCCAATTTCAATTTTTTATTTGCCTTAAAAAAAAGAGTTTAAAAGAATTAAGCACAAAACAAGTGCCTTGTAAAAATTCTGACATAAGCCATATGTATTTTTTTAAAATTATAGTATCAGAAAACAGAATACTGGAAAATGTCCCTCAGAAACTTAAAATCACCAATGGGAATGACTTACAAAACTGAACACAACTAAACATTTTAAATCCATATTCCCCACACACTTTGCAAATCTCCTACCCAGGGAAATAAACAGAGCTGTTAGTTAGCTTAGAGTCATTAAGGGGCTATAATAGTGGCAAATATTTTTTTTCCCCTTTTTAACATAACTGAATACTCGAAACATGGTAACATTATACCATACATAATTATTAGCAAAACTAACGCTAAAGGTTAATTCTTGAGCTGTGAGATTGATTTTTGGTTACTGTTTTATATACTAGTGTTTTAGTGATAACAAATCTAATATGATTAAGGTACTGCTTGCTTTCTTTGAAAAGGCTTTCCCAAATGCTCTGACTCACAACTTCTGGAACTCTCAAAATCGGGTCAATATTTATTTATAAATTCTATGGATTCTCTTTTGATTAAAAAAAATTCCAAGTATGATTTTCTTTTTTGAATTGTATGGAACTAAAAATTGCTTAACAAAACATTACCTGTTAGAAAATCTAGAGGCTCTATGTTGACTCTGGACAGCCTGAAAAGTTATGTGTCTAAATTTTAGTCTTCTCAAAAGCTACTTCCTTTAAATTCCCTGGTCATTCACTGCATTTCTGAATTCCAGAGAAAAATAAGACTCGTTAGACTAGAAATGAATCTCACTAACCTGGGAAGAGAAATTCTTGACTAGAACATTAACAATTCAAAGTGAATGGGTCACAAGAATTATTGTCAACAAAAAGGTTTAAACCAAGACTTAAAAACAGATTGCAAAAATTTGACAATGTTTTTGACTAATTTCCAAAACTTCTGACTATATTACTTGCCCACCCACATACAAATGTCCCAAGTGGATGACAGGAGAAGCACGGCAGAGAAAATTCTTTTATGCACAAAGCTCTTTCACTTAGACTCATCCAGGTTTCTTTTGGGCTGTGAGCACCGGCTCATCTTTGTAGCTGCAAACCAACTAAGATTCTGGAGGGTTAATTCTTTAAGGGACTGATAAATACCATTACCACCCCACTGAATATGTAAGGAAAGTCATTTACTTTCTCCTACACACAGACAATGGATTAAGCTCTCAAGCACAGCACCTTAAGAGGAGGCACTTAGTGAATGCTTTTTGATGATGATGACAAGCTTAAATTAGAAACTCATTTAATTTCTTTTCCCCATCCCCTCTGTACTGCATCACTCTATTTCAAGCTCTCTCACCAGTCCTGTGGCTCTCTAATATTCTCATTACAGGCTAGCTACCTCCTCAACTATCAGAGATATTTCCAAGTTCAGGAGGGTTAAGTGGGTAAAGGTTGCAAAGGACAGGCCTCTGCCAATTGTTGCACCAAAAAAGAGTAATGCCACTTTAGTTTTGCATTCTCAACTCTAACTGGGGAATGATACTGGCCTCAATATGGTTTAAGACTCACCTAGTCCTGAACATCAGAAAAAAGTCCATTTCACTCTTTCTATGTAGTCTTTATTCTTTTGTACTCTATTTGATTTACAGTATGTTTTGTACTGCCCATTCAAGTTTTGCCTCTGCAGTCCATTCTTTTCAACTCATTTATGCTCCAGTTTATTGCCTAGTACTGACCAATACCATCACTAGGCATCCAAAATGGGCTTCTTAAATATCCCTAATAACTGTGAAATTGCAAGGTAGTTTTGGGTATTGATTTAACATGTGCCTCTTAGGAGAGCAAAGAAAAACTGTGTTTTCTGTACTTTTACATACATCCCCTCCATCACTCTTACAAGCCCAGAGTGAAGTGTTCTAAGAAGCATTTATTGCCAAAAATTTAAATGAAGTTTAGTAACTATAAAGGAAATCATACAGAACCTATGATGGGTCAAGAAGAGGAAGGGAAGTTAAAGGGGACATAGTACACTGATACATTCTGTGATTTCTCAGCTGTCTTCCCTTTTTGTGTGCTCTTCTCTTCTTAGATAAATCAACATGATAATATCCGTCAGCAATACCCGAAGAAACTACACCCCCTCAACTTGTGAGCAACTTATGCAGTTATGTCTGCAGTTTTTTTTTCTCTGAAAGCACTATGTTTCCTTCTTTCTCTCGTCTTGGCCTTCTCTGAGCTTAAAGAGCATTTACTTTGTATGTGGGTGTGCTAAGATGGCTCAATATTTATCTGAAATTGCAGATACTTCTTTGCTAGTTAACCTCACTGAGGATCTGAGGGCCAGTATGTGGTGGTGCTTTAAAATATCATATGGAGCTCATTCATGGTATCAAGGGACATGATTTAGTAATTCAGCACAGTAACAGTATATTAAGAGAATGAAGATTGGTTGAATGGGTGGTTGTGGACAAACCTGAAAACAAGCTAAAGGCTGGTCCCTTTGGCCAACAGAGCTCTCTAGCCCTTGATTATAACATCTAGAGCTGATGGCACAGATCTCACCTCCTTTCCTAGACTAGAAATTCCTAGAGGCCTGCATTTTTCACCTGTGTTTTCTCGATCTTGTTGGATGGATGGAAGAATAATTGAAAAAAATGAACTGGCATCATTAAGCCACAATATTCTTTTGCATGGAATAGTCTATAAAGTGGCTACTCTCAGCTCTTTTGGAATTAGTCATTAAGTTTTCCACTGTTTACAATCTTAACAATAGAGAATGTTACTGCTAGAAAAGATATGGTCCAAACCTTTCATTTTATAGTTCAGGAAATAGATATGTGTTTGTTTTTATGCATAAAGGGCAGTCACTGAAAAGAAATTTAAGGCAAATGGCAAAGAAGGAAAATAGAAACATATGCTTGATGTCATTCTTCTACAGGAAGATGCAAACTCATATACAAACACTACAGAGTCACAATTCTAGTCACAAATGGAACCACCTGATATTTCTTGGCAGCTAATGACATTTAAAGAGAAAAAGATTTCCTGTTGCTTAAAAATGCTCATCCAGGAATTTTTGTCCTTCCCCCACAAACTATCAAATGATGAGTCAAGAAAATATGGCTATTTATACTTTTGAAAGTACTTAAAATATGATAAAATTTAAAACACTATAATTTTAGCAACCATAATAGAAATTTAAAAACCTCAACTTACCTCCTTTAATTTATCCACATCATCTTTCACTTTTTCATAGATATCATTAGCTGTTCTAAGTTTTTTCTTCCACTCTGCTACAGTTTCTGGGTCAATTTTACTTGGATTATCTGCAGTTAGATGTTTGTCTTCATTTTGGTTGCCCTGCATCAAGGTTAAAGGATCTAGAATAGTCTTGATCTGTGACTCCAAGCTGAGATTTTTACTCTTAAGCTCTTCTACCTCTTTCTGAAGACAATCTATTTCATCCTGAAAAAGCATGGCAGAACCATTAGGTGGACACAGACACTTAACACATATGTATGCTAAACTGAGGCCAATGTGTTTTTAAATTTTATACTAAAAATACAGTAGGCTTACAGATTCTTTATGCATCAGAATAGTTTTGTAGGCAGAAAATCAACGTCACATACAGCTGAAATACGTATCTCAAAATATATTCTGACTGATAAAAACTGGCATTTCCACTGCTTTCACTAATTCAATGATAGTTTGTGGTTTTAAAAAAAATAAAAATATCAAATCTTTCATTCTATTTAAGATACAAAGAACACAAGAAAGGTCACATGAATTCATAAGGAAGTAGATTTCTCAGAAGACAATTCTGAGGCATGTTTACTTGCTTTACTAAGGGGAATTAAAAAATAGTGTTGATAAAGATGATTCATTACAGTTTTGTTTGATTTCTACATTTTTGCTTCCATATTTGAAGTAGAAGTAAAACCATACACAATTTCTTCCTACTGTCCATTTCAGAATAATACCTGTAGTTAATTTTTAACTTTTGTATATTCTGGTTCTCAATTACCATCATGACTATTCCAAGTGTTAGTTTTCTCCATCTGGAACTGATATTGTCTTAAATACAATTACTATACATTTGGGTTAGAACTCTCTTCTGAGATACCATTTATTCCTCTATAATGGATATTTCATCTCAAAGTAAGATTGTTTGAAATTCTCTTGTTAGAAAATAAACTCTAAGTAGTTCAACATGCCAGTGAGTGTTTTCCTAAAGGATAATTTGATTAGTACTAAGTATGATAAATATTCATTATATAAGAATACATTTTAGAGTTAATAATACACAGATAGCACTATTTACTGATTTAAATTACAATACATTTCAAGTTTAATATCACTATAAAATGAGAAAATTGCTTTATTTGTTTGAATTTATATATTAATGAATAAACAAATATAAACAGGAAACATATACACGAATGAACATTTATTTAGTCCTTTATTTTGGCCCATTTTACTTCAAAGAGTTGTTGAAGCAGCTAAAGTAGTTTCCCTGTACACAGTCTAACTTAAAGATATTTTATGTCAAAAAAAGATCAATTGTATCTCCCCCTTCGGTCAACATAAAATGACAAATGGACTGTTTACTATTCAAAAGTGTATGTACTTTATTAGCATGAAGCTAATTTGGAATAATCCTATCACCATGTCAAATCATCTTCACAGAAAGAAGACTATGGTATGATCTCACTTATATGTGGAATCTAAAACGGTTGACTATCTAGAAGCAGAGTTAGAAAGTGGTTACCAGGAGTGGGGAGATGGGGGAAATGAGGTGGGAAAAATGGGGAGATGGGTCTAAGAGTACAATGTTGCAGTTAGGTAGGATAAATAAATCTAGTGACCTAATGTATGGGCATGACAGCATGATGACTATAATTAATAATACTGTATTTGATACTGGAAAGTTGCTGAGAGATTTCAGGTGCTCTCACTATAAAAAAATAATAACTATGTGAGGAGATGCCTATGTTAATTAGCTCAATGAAGCAATTATTTCACTACATATAAACATATCAAAAAACATGTTGTACATCTTAAATATACATAATTTTTATTTTAAAAAATGACACTGGGTGATGGTTACATGAGTTGTATACACATGGCAAAATTCATCAAGCTGGGCGTTGTTCACTGTATTTATAATGATTTGTGCATTTTAATTTACTGAGCATTTTAAATCCTGATTATTTAAAAAATAAACACATACTGCCTTACATGTACATACTTAGGAAACAGCATATTTCACACAAAAATCTCTTTGCTGGTTGTTAGCATAAGTGTATTTATGTTACCAAACTAGTGAGGCATAATTATCAGAAGTTATAGGCAGAAACAAAACATAATAAAGGTTATAGTCACTGTTTACCAGAGCATGCGTAATACTTTGTGGGGGTTGGAGGAATGACTTTCACAAGAGGGTTTCCTTTATTTCTCAGATTCTTGAGGGAGCAAATACCTACAAAATGATCTGTCTGTTGAGAAAAAATCTTATATTAAAAGAAGGAAAAAAGGTAATGTTTCCATCTGTTCTTTTCCTTTATTTGAAATTGGAAAGGGAAGAAGAAAAAGAATTTTTCAAATAAAGTATTTTTAAATTGACATTTAAAATAGGATCTTACTTATTGTTCACTCTAGGAAGTCCAGGGACTGAGACAGCTCAATCATACCTTGAATTCAATGCTGCCATCATTTCAAATTTTAATTATTATTTACCTCATATTCTTTGTGGAGTAATTCAAGTCTGGTTTTCCGAAGGTGCTTCCTGACCGTGTGGCTTAGCATAGGTTCACTTTCACTTGTTCCTCCTATAGGGAAAAAAAATCTAACTTTTCATTCTGATTTGTCTAAAATGAAAATGTAAATGAACCCTTTCCTTACTGTTTTATACAGTTCTCCAGCTTAATGACTACCCTTTCCTAATATAGCAACTTGGGGCTGCCATCTAGGCCTTTTTATACTTCAATCCTGAGAAAAGATATAGAACAAGTAACACTGTAAGAAATACCTTCAGTAAAGTATCATGTTGTGTTTATTTACCTTTGTATCTTATTATAGTAAACCCAATAAAGGCAAAGGATACATTTTATTAATTATCACATTTGGACTACTACAATTTTTGAATACCAGACAACTGTAAAAAATTATAAAACCAATGATTATATTTAATCAATAAATTACATAAATACATTATCAATACATATTTCACATATAATTATCAAATATGTACTATCTATATATCAAATATACATGTATTTTATATGTATAGCTATAAATGATATATATTACTATTATTATTATTATAACCAATGTATTCATTCACATACATCTAGTTACTGGAAACATAACTAGAAAGATTAATGTGTCTTTTCACTGAGTACCCAATTATAACAGATTATGAATCACAGCATTAATTACATGCCCATAATGACTCATTACAAATACACTCAAAATGAATTCTTCCTGAGAGCTCCTTCCTATGCCATGGTTACCTTTTTTGTACTTCTTGGCATCATGATAGCAAAGGCATTTTATAGATGTTCTTTTTCAGGATGTTCTATCCAAATGCAAGGATGGATGAACTATTTTACTTGAGAGAATTTATGAAACAGCACTTAGATATAAATGAATGAAGGCAGAAGAAGGAATAAGAAGAGAAGCTGGAGAAAAAAACATTTAAATTATTTTAATCATCAAAGCTCATATTGTGCAAGAAAAGGCTTAACTCCTTGGTGAGTTCAGTACAAGTAAAACACCAGAAGCAGAGAGGTTGACACTGCAGTATGCAACGCAGACAGAACTAGTCCTCTCTCAGACTTCACTTAGGCACCCAAGAGAGAAACCCTGGAATCATGTCTGATTCCTCCTTTGGATCCAACTCTTAGTTTAGGTCTTAAATCTTATTTACGTTCATTTATCCTAATTTTGGACTATTAAAATGAGTTATTAAGTTTTCTGAAAGGTGTTTAATGTACGTACACAGCTAAGGATAGAGTCACTTTCAGTTTTTCCTAAAGCAAATATGAATAAAAATCATTTTAATTTTTGCAACCCAAGATAAATGAATTATATGAGCAGAATAAAAAGCAAACACTAAAACAGCTCTTTAAATGTTTTGTTTTTCAAAGATCTTTTAGCTTAAGTTTTATCCTCCCTCTTACCCGCATTAGTATGGTGCTGAATGTTCTTTTGTACCTTTTAACCCAAACTCACCCGGGCAAGAGCCTTCTACATGATGTACTCATATCTCGTCTCTCCCCTACAGCCCAACCTACATAGCACCACCTGAGTAAAACTCCTCAAGCACGTTTTGGATCATGGCACCCACTTGCTCAAAACCATCATGCCCACCTCACTCCTCTTTTCATGCACTGAGCAAGTCCCCACTTCAGTTTGTCACTCAAGATTCTCTGTACTCAAGCCTCAATTTACCTGCTCAATCTTACTTCAATAGTCAGATCCAAACTGATCATTTCTAAAAACATGCTTTGTATTTTCCTACTTCTAAACATGAGTTCATGTCATTTCCTCAATATGAAATGCCCTCCCTAATCTTTACTAGTCAAAATTTTACCCATCCTTAAACCCCTATCTTAAAGGCCACCAACTTCATGAAGAAGTCTTTCTCAAAGCTTCTAGTGGAAATTCCTTGCCTGAACTCTCTGAGCCTTTTTTTTTGGACCTTAGCATCTGCTGCTTTAAACCATTAATATTTTGGTCCACATGCCGAGCCTCTACCAAAATTTAAGTTCTCTGAGGCTTTAAGATTTCTCACAGTGCCTTGTGCCCCTCAGTTGCTCCAATTTATAGATTATACAAATGATCAATCCATCCAGTATATTGGTAAAACAACATCATTAAAAATTGTCTATTTCAGTCTTCCTGCAAATATACACTATTAAGAGATATATTCAAATCTATTTCTATGCATTTATAAAATAGGCCCTTACCGATAATCTCTTTGCAAGGATTTTCAGTAGTGATGGGGACTCTGCAAGCTGGACACTGGCTATTATTTTTCAACCACAAATCGATACAAATTGAACAAAATACATGGTTGTTGATGCAGATGACAGGATGGCGTACCTTTGAAAAAAGAAACATCACTTTTAGTACAGGGCAATAGTCTTAACTAGAATCCCAACAGATTTAGTTTAAAGCAAATAAATTGCTTCTCTGGAATACAGCAGAACAGTTACTTTAAGAGATGGGCCTTATAAGAACACCACTTTCCCTACCATTTTGTTTCTTATATATGTATAACAGAGGTAGCAGCTGAGGTATCTGGACATGGAGACTGAAACTTCTGACATATTATGAAATGGCTTTACTTTGTTTCAAACCACATTCAAGGCCAAAAAGAAAATGTACTTTGTTCCACAAAAGCAGGGAGAATTTATCTTTGACTGTTCTTTTAGCATTATGAAATGTCAGGATTACAAGGTCCTTCAAAGATAATTTAGTCCAATCACCCATCTCATGCCTGAATCCTCCCCCCAGTTCATTCTACTGTATGAGCAACAGCAAACAAACCAACCACTGAGCATAGACGCATGACTAGAAAGTCCCCAAAACCAGAGGGATGAAAGCTAAAGCAATCCTAAATGACACGATCCCACTCTCAAGCGGTTTATAACCTAAACAGCAAACAATGCTGACAGAAACACTGAAATACACTAAAAATACAAACCTTTGAGTCCTAAAGAAATACAGATAAAAATACTTTACATTTATGAAATCTTGTATTTTACAAAAGAGTCTTCACATGCATTTTCTGCTTTTGTTTTGTATTTTAAATAACCCCGTGAGGTAAACACAGTATATATACTTTACAAATATGGAAACCAAGGCATGAAGAAACTAGGTGGCTTGTTCAGGGTTAATTATTTCAATTGTGTAGTTGTTTTATCAGAAGGAAAATTAGAAGAGAAATGTTGTATTAGTTTTCTACTTGACATTGATTTACATGTCTGTTTGGATATTGTCTATCTCCCCCATTAGAATGGAAGCTCCATTAGAGCAAGGATTTCCTTTGTCTCAATCATTTCTAAATCACTGGAGCCTAGAGGACAGCTTAGTGCACTGTAGGTATCCAAAGAATGTTTGTTGAATGAAGTAATTGCTATTATGAAGTATTAACATTCAATTAGTTGGGCAACTTGCCAGGGGTAATAATGACTTATTCTTCAAACAGCACAAATTTTTTAAAAAAATTTTATTAAGGTATTATTGATATACACTCTTATGAAGGTTTCACATGAAAAAACAATGTGGTTACTACATTAATCCATATTATCAAGTCCCCACCCTACCCCAATGCAGTCACTGTCCATCAGTGTAGTAAGATGCCACAGATTCACTGTTTGCCTTCTCTGTGCTACACTGTTTTCCCCGTGACCCCCCCCACACCATGTGTACTAAACATAACACCCCTCAATCCCCATCTCCCTCCCTTCCGACCTGCCCTCCCACACCCCTCCCCTTTGGTAACCACTAGTCCCTTCTTGGGAGTCTGTGAATCTGCTGCTATTTTGTTCCTTCAGTTTTGCTTCCTTGTTATACTCCACAAATGAGGGAAATCATTTGGCACGTGTCTTTCTCCACCTGCCTTATTTCACTGAGCATAATATCCTCCAGTTCCATCCACAAATAGCACAAAATTTTTTTTTAATTTTGGTATCATTAATCTACAATTACAGAAAGAACATTATGTTTACTAGGTTCCCCCCTTCACCAAGTCCCCCCCATATACCCCTTCACAGTCACTGTCCATCTGCGTAGTAAGATGCTGTAAAATCACTACTTGTCTTCTCTGCACAAATAGCACAAATTTAATAATAAAAAATGAAAACAAAAAAGACACAGAAACGCTTAGGCTTTTGCTTGATTTACATGTCACTTTTATCATGGGGCTCAAAACGCATTATGGCCATTTCCAGTTTTTTTGTTCTAGTAATAACAATGATACCACTGTAGAGTCCTTCTGCAGAAGGAATAGGGACCAGAAGATCAAAGGAAGGCAGAGTAGGAGAATGAAGAGAGAACCACCACTAACCACTTTCTGCAGATAAAATGTCTGTGTTGCTGTATGTTTCCCTCAGAAAGATATATAAATATTCACTAATTTGAAAGGGTTCCTATTCTCAAAGAAGTCAGACATATGGCAATCCAGGACAAGCAGACAGTCATTTTAAGTCTCACTGCAAGAAGCTCTCTGGTCTTAGTCTGGCTTTCCAAACATTTAGATGGTCCCTTAATTATGAACACTAATATAAGAAAACTAAACAGAAAATATAATTGAGCACAGATTTAGATTTCCTCTTGGAGAAACCAATTCTAATTCTCTCAGTTCAACTGATTTGACAGAACTGATTAAAATACACACATACATACATACATAACATGTGACCACGAAGCACAGCTTCTCAAACTCTTCTTCCAAAATGTTTCTACTAACAGCAAGGAGTGAATGCTTATCTGGGAGATACTCCTGGTCAGAGTCTCAAGACACAGACAAGCTTGAACTTTTTTTGTAGGTTCTGTTCTTTCCTAAAAATTCATGTGACTTGAAGTCCAGACTATAATATGTTCATTTAAGTTTTAATTTAATCTTTAAGTCACAAAATGTTTTAAAAACAAAAAACTCTCAAACTAAGTATCAGGAAGATACTGTCCTATCAATCCTATAGCTTCCCCCAAACACATGCATGTATGCACACAGGCACTACATTACTGCTACACTCCTAAAAGTATATATACTCCTAAATTAAGAAGCTTAGCAGAAAGAAGAGTTATCTCCCTGCATGTTTAGAGCAGTGATTTAATATCTTTTATTTAAGTCACAAACTCATCTGAAAATGGATCAAAACCAATGCTCAAAACATACAGATGTGCATATTATTTAAGGGGATTCAAGATGCTCTCCTGTCCTTTATAGGCCTCCCTCAATAGAAGCACACTGAAAGGCAGTCAATATTTTCTATGTAATTTCTCACACCACAAAGGTTAAATATCTCCCCAATCTAAAAAATGGTTTTGAACAGCTCAGTGGTTGGTACTGTCTTAACTAAGTTAAGAAACAGAAGGTCTCATACATGGTGCAAAGAAATCTGGTGATGTTAAATTTGTGATTCCAAGCTGATATGTAAGTGGACAAGAGAGAATCTGCGAATCATTGGCATTAAAGATGATGGCATTTAAATCTAGAGGACTGGAAGAGATCCTCTGCACGGACAGAACAACTGGAGAAAAGGCTTTCTAGCAAGTAGAAGAGGAAGAGGAACCAGTAAAGGGAACAGAAGAGGGGCCTGTGGTGAAGAACAGAATATGGTGTCACAGAAGCCAAGAGAGGAAAGTTTTTCAAGAAGGAGACAGTAGCCAAGTATTGAGGGGAGGCTGAGTTTGATGTGGACAGAGAAGTGACTATAGGATTTAACTGCATGGAAGTCACTGTAATTTGTACTGATGGTACTGTTTCAATGAATGGTGGGAAAGGAATCTGACTGGAGGTTGAGAGACAAGAAAAGGTGAAGAAGTGAAGACAGAATACAGAAAATTCCTTCGTGTTTTGCTGTAAAGGAGAGAGCATAAAAATGAGGCCATAGTAAGGGATGCCAATGGGAATGATACAGTAAAGAGGGGATATTGATGATGGAGGAAGACAGAAATGGATTAGATCCACAGACAGCAAAGTCCCTAAGAAGTCACCAGGGGAATGAGAGCCAAAGCACAGGGGGCATTTTGGCTTGTATAGGAGTGAGGATCTGTCTTCCACTGTAACAAAAGGGAAGGCCAAGGGTGTGAGAACAAATACAAAGGGGTTGGAAAATCTGTTGATGGGAGGATGAGAGAACTCCTGCTCCAACTGTTCTGCTTGCTTTCAATTTGTCATTAAATATGAGGTGATGTTACCTGCTGAAAATGAGAAGCAGGGAGGGATTCTGACTTCAGAAAATAGAGGAGAATAAGTAAGTTATTTTGAAAAGTGAAAAAGTAAATTTACTAGGGACATGTAGCAGAATTGCCAAATATTGTTGAGGTCTGTAGTTCTGACTATAAAGACCAATGAACATAGGTATGTATTTTTCTTACCAAATTTTAGGTGCTCAGGTTCAGACAGGAAGTAAATGAGTAGTTGGGGTAACTCAGAGTTGAAGAGTTTTGCCAAGGAGGAAGAGAGAGACAAGAGATTGATGATAATAAATGACCATGGCTAATAAGGGAAATGAGTGCATCAATGGTAATGATGACAGTGAGAAAGTGATAGAGTCATAGAGTCAATGGATGGGTTTTGATAAGGCTGAAGTAATGCTGGGGAATAGGAATGATGAGATCAGAGATGCTTATCACCAAATACTGGAGGGGGTGCAGCTGCTTTCTCTAACATTTCGTCCTGGACCGTCTCATCTGACATAGTTCTGTTTCCTCACACATCATATAGTGTTAACATCTTCCATATGGTGGCAACTCCTGAGAATCCTGTAACTGGACCTCAGGAAGTAGCGTAGCTTAGGCTTTGAGACAACCCAGGGCCACCTCCAGCTCTGCCACTGGAGCTCTTTGACCTTTGGTAAGCCCTTTAGTTATGGTGGGCAACAGTTTCCGCCAATGAAAACTGTGGTTTAACCTAGTACACTTTTCACTCAGGTGTTAAGATTTAATAACGTAAAGATGTAACAGAGACTTCAATATAGCAATCCCTCAAAAAACAAAAGAGAGAGAGAGAGAGACAGAGACAGAGAGAGAGAGAGAGAGAGAGAGAGAGAGAGAGAGAGAAAGATAAGGAATGGAAAGGTAGTGACACTAATATATCCATATGGGCAGGAAACAACTCCATGTAAAAAGCTGTCTTCACTATAACATGCCCCAGAGTAAATTTGGCTGCCTCCACACATTCTGTCCTCCTGCCCTCCCTCTTGTCTAAGTTAATGGCAC